AATTTAACAAACATAAATAAGCAGGAATGTGCAGAAATAGAAATTTGGTGACCGAAAATCATTTCAAAATAACTATTCCTCTATATTGTATTTCCTCAAGATTCCAGTGTATGAAACTCTTATGGGCGAGACGTTTGTATAAAATATCTTTTCCTTTTCTCCTGTCAATACGAAACTCAAACAAATTGGCACGAATGTGTTCACCGCACAATGGGCTATCAATAATGAGGTTTACATTCGCCTTTGGCGAGAATCAAACTTAAGACCTCTCACTTACAAGTAAAGATGAATATCACTAGACTGTAGTACTAAGTAACAAAATAGTGCTATAAAATATTCATTCCAAATATGTGTACTTTGTAACATATTATGCATCTATAAGATACTTAAGAGAAGGCTTTTCGTCGATTACTTTTGATAATGTTTAGCTATACCTTATTTGTATTTACAAAACAAAATAAAATAAGTTAATATAATAAAAAATAAACAATGATAAACGAATACTTAACTTTTTATACAACGATACACTAAAAGGTGGGAGATAAATTGCAATGTTGCTACTTGGCCTATATGTAATGTGCAATTTTGCTACTTGATTTTCCAACTGACACAATTAACGTAGTAAGTTTGTTAAGAGTGGTTGCACTCTCTTGACTGCAAAGATAATAAAAATATATCTAAGCTAAGTTTTTTTTTGAAGAGCATATCTAAGCTAAGTTTGGCCCTCCTTATCTGCTAGAAAATATGGAGGGAAAGATATCGAGTGGTTTTGCTATCAGAAATGAGGTTGGAGAACTAATTGTTGCTGGTGCTGGATACTTGGTGGATAATTCAATATATGTAGCGGAATACGGCTTTGTGGGATGCTCTCTGGATGGCAAGAAGTAGAGGTTTTAAGAAAATTTGTGTGGAAGTTGATTCTAAATTAGTGATTGACATCATTTTAGGATCCTGCAATTTTCCTTGGCGTTTAAAAGTTATCGTTGAAGACATCAAAAGTTTGGCAGCCTTTTTTGGATTCTATCTCTTGAACTCACATTTTTAGGGAAACAAATTTTCTAGCAGATGCGATTACCAGTGTCAGATTTCATTTTAATAATCTTCTTTGTGTGGGATAGATTGTTCGTTATCTATTGTGGCTCACAAGATCTATTTATTTGAGTATGAGAACTCGTTGTGATCGTTGCCATTCGGTTTAATTTATGTCTTAGTATTTAAATAAAACAAAAAAAACAAAAAACTTAGGTGGTATAAGCATATTGGAAGACAAGAAAACCTCCCAATAAAAGAGCATCTGCAGGGCTGTGTTATATCCCATCCCTGTCTCAATTCCTCTCTCTCTCTCTCTCTCTCCTCGTATGATACACATCTCCGGCCCTTGAAATCCTCAAATCCCCACCACAAAAATCACCAAAAATCAAATCTCAATCCCATCCCCCACTCCCCCCAAAAAAACCCACCATTTGGTTCCTCCCCATCCCACCAATGGAACCCAACCCCAACTCTGGCGCCCCCACCTCCGCCGCCGCCGCCCCGACCCAGCAACCACCGCAAGCCCAATCCTCCCCCTACCCAGCAACCCAATCCTCCGTCCCCGCCCTTCCATTCCACCACCTCCTCCAGCAGCAGCAGCAGCAGCTCCAGATGTTCTGGACCTACCAGCGCCACGAGATTGAGAGCGTCAACGACTTCAAGAATCACCAGCTGCCGCTTGCCCGCATCAAGAAGATCATGAAGGCCGACGAGGACGTCCGCATGATCTCCGCCGAGGCCCCCGTCCTCTTCGCCAAAGCCTGCGAGCTCTTCATTCTCGAGCTTACCATCCGCTCCTGGCTCCACGCCGAGGAGAACAAGCGCCGGACCCTCCAGAAAAACGACATTGCCGCTGCCATTACCCGCACCGACATATTCGACTTCTTGGTGGATATAGTGCCCCGCGACGAGATCAAGGAGGAGGCGGTGGGGCTCGGAGGGATGGTCGGGGCGACGGCTAGTGGGGTGCCGTACTACTATCCGCCGATGGGCCAGCCGGCTGGTGGCCCCGGGGGGATGATGATAGGGAGGCCTGCGGTGGACGCCTCTGGGGTTTACGGCGTGCAGCCGCCGTCGCAGGCGTGGCAGTCGGTGTGGCAGACTGCGGCGGATGATGGGTCGTACGGGAGTGGAGGGAGCAGTGGACAGGGCAACCTCGACGGTCAAAGGTACTGTGTATCGTACTTATCTATCGAAATGTGACTTCTTTCCGGAAAACTTTGATGATTCTTGATGTGGGAATTGTACTTTTGAAGTACTGAGTAACTGGGTTTGTGACAGTTTCATGGCTTCTTCGACAAATTTAACTTCTTTTCGGTTATGTTCTGTTTTCGTTAGCGTGATTAGGTGAAATGTGTAGCTTAATTTGTGATGTTTGAAATGGTTTCTTTGTACTTGTCTTCTGCTTCGAATAGGGGTTACGGAATTGTTTGAAGGAGCTAAATTTTATAGGTTCCGAGGCATAACTTATCTTTATTCCAAGAGAAGCATTTGAGTGTTGTGTGATTCGGACTTTCGAGTTTGCAAAGATTATATCTTGGATGAATTGGATAATCTTATTAGACCATCTCCAACCCTTGGTTAAAACCTCAAATTTTCAACCTATAAAATTTAGGTTTTAATCCAGAAACAGTTTTTGTCCCTCAATCATTCTGGGTTAAATTTTTAGCTGAGATTATTAAAGAATGAATTTAGGATAATTTTTTTTCTTAAAGTAACTTAAAAAAAATAATTATGTAGACTATTCTTATTTAATTTTATGCACAATTTAACTTAAAAATATTTAGGTTCCGATATGTATTGAAAAATCACTAAACCGACATCATGAAACTTGTGGAACACTGAAAAAATATGAAACACATAAAAGAATTATTTTTAATTACCTTAGCCGTTTGATTTAAATTTGGATCATTAGATTTTTTTTATTACCCTTGGATTTGATCATATTAGATCTTAGTCGTTGGAGTCAATGAATTTATAAATATAAAACTAAAGAAAATACACATATATGGTGGGTCGGTCCTACTAACCTAAGGGGCATCCTGGCCTAAATTTGAGGCAGAAGGATTGGAGCAAGTTAGGGTAGGTTTAGAATGTAAAATTTGAGTTTTACTCCAAGGATTGGAATAGGTCTTAGAGTATCGAAGTTGATGCAACATGAAATTTGAGACCGCCATGTGCATCCAACTCTTGAAGGTAGTATTTCTGTGTGTATTGTTGCTATGGGGTTATGTACTCAAATTCAATGGCTTGATGATTTATGGATCTGCTTGTTTGGGGAAAAGAGTTTGAGGAGAATAAGGAAAATTATTAGCACGATAAAGATGTTCCCTTTACTCGTGGTATAGTGATGATCCAACTCAAATTCCTTATGGGTTTCAGCTTCTATGTAATGGGGAAGGGTGGTCTTGGAACCATTGCAGCAGTCTATAGTACTGTCCGATGGTCGTCTTTGCAGAGTTGCCCTTATGTTTTCTGTTTCTCGAATCAACTTAAATGACGGGTACTTGCCATCCCAAAAACTGAAATCAAGCCAATTTGCTTTGTATCGATTGATTGATTCATCTTCCGAACGGACTACCTTCTGCATTTTCTTTGTCCTCACTTTGCTGACCTGCTATGGACTGTATATTACAAAACTTCGTGATCATGCATTAAAGAGTCTGCATTTTGCGGTGATGGTTCAAAATGCTTGTTGAGTTTATTGTCGGTTTTAATTCCTTCCGGGATTTTAGTTCCTTCTGCAAACTAGTCATTTTGCGAAGGGAATTTAGTTCCTTGGGTGCATCAGTGAAGGTGACCTTACTGACTGGCTGTATAATTGTGATCATTGAACCATTAGAATGAAACTTTCTAAGTTGTAGCACGAAACTTTGTAACTCGAAACAAATACTAATACCGAGTGTTTCCAATTTCTGTATGCAGTTAAAGAGACTAATTTAGGGATGATTTGCTGCGTGGGGGGCACGGAGGAACGATCGGCAGATGATTTTTGAATTGCTGAATTAATATTATTGTTCTTTCTTATGAGGATGACTTAAAGACCTGGTAAGACTATTGATCCAGAGCCGTTGGAAAATCACTGCTGTGTAATATTAAATGTGCAGTCTTCTATAATTTAGGCTATCTTCTCTCTTGTTGCTAACTCCAATCATTGTGGCTCATTTCTTATTAATCAAACCTCCTAGGTTTTAGCTCTCTCTCTCTCTCTCGGAAAATGATACACGCACCATTTTTAGCCACTTACGCACTCATGTTTAATCATGGTCGTGGATTTCGTTTGATTTATTAAATCCGTTGACTAGGAATAAAGTGGGGTGCGTTTCCATTCGTAAGGCAATAAGGCGGAGAAACTATGTTACCATTATTAATAGTTTGAGGATGTCAAAATTTTCAGCGTTCAACATAGAATCATTGAATGTTCTTTTCGATGTCGGATGCTTCAACGGCTCTTCAGTTAGGGAATTTTTTTTTTTTAATAATTAAATTATGTGACGGTACTTTCTTGGGTACTGCATGAGTACAGAGTACTGGATACTCTGAATATCTTAACCATTAGATCTTTGTTTCAAAATATAAAAATCAAGATCTAGCGGTTAGAATATTCAGAGCACGCCATACTCTAGAGCACCCAAGTCGTGACTAAAACAGCTACGTACTATACAAACTTTCAAAGGTGATATCCGCACACTTTTTTTCTCATTATGTATGCCCATCTTTATTTCTATCTTCAGATCTTTCATTGAGTTCTTCAACTGAAATGTCAAAAGTGAACGAGTGTGCGCCATGGAAGAAAAATGGTGCGTGAAAGTCACTTCCCAAATCGTTTACATCGGTGCCTACAAGCCATCAAAATCAATAATCATCAGTCATATTGTTAGAACCTAAAAAATGGTGGACAAAAAGTCTTTGAAAGTTGCCCAGCAACTACTCACCTGTAGAAATTATTGTTATTCATTTTCCAGAGGTAAACAAATAGCAATTGGATACCAAAACGCAGCGTTTTATTATGTAACAACCACGCACCTGACTAATAAAAACAAAAGAAACCCTTGAAACCAAAGCAAACCTTTACTTGGTCTTCACTCAACCACCCAGTGAGCCACCACGCTGTCTTTCAGCCTAACAGCTTCAACCATCAAATACCCCACCACCGGACATCTCCCTACAAGGTGTGATAGCGGCTGCAGAGGAGGTGAAAGAAAAGAGAGACAGAAAAATGCCACCAGAAGTGCCTCATTTTCGCTCTATCGTAACTCCTCTGGTTCGGTTCTCTTCTCCCGTCTCACCAGAAGCACAAGAGTGCCAGCCTCATAGACACAAGCAATCGAGAGGATCTAAAGCCATGAACTTTTCCAGAACCAAACTCATCCCTTTCCTTGTTTTGATCCTTTCGATTGTTTCGGTGCTCAGACTTGTTAGAATTGCTGTAACTACACCTCCTCCTACTCTTGGAAAGACATGTTCTTTCTCTTCCACGTGCACCAAGTTTCGTGCAGAAACAAACGCCTCTGCCAACACCTCCGGCCTCAGGAAAAAGGAATACCAACTGCTGTTGAATCTCATTTCGCAGAAAGCTCCCTGCAACCTCCTCATATTCGGGCTTGAACCTCAGTATATATCTCTGTCATTAATCAATGCAGGCGGCATCACCGTCTTTCTAGAGGATGATCAAAAGAAGATAAGCACACTGAAACCAAATTCCAACACCACCAGAGTCTACAAGGTGGACTACCAGATACCTGCAAAAGAGGCGTACAGGCTGCTCAAGCACGCAAGGGAACACCCAGACTGCGTACCCAGCTCAAAACTGCTTCAACGATCAAAATGTCAACTTGCATTGAAAAATTTACCACAAGAAGTTTACCAGCTTAAATGGGATGTGGTGGTGGTGGATGGACCGAGCGGGAATGCACCAGAGGAACCGGGTAGGATGTCAGCAATCTATTCTGCTAGTATGATAGCAAGAAATGCAAACATTACGCATGTGGTAGTGCATGACGTAGACCGAATGATCGAGAAGTGGTTTTCCTGGGAGTTTCTGTGTGATGAGAACTTAGTTTCTTCCAAAGGGAGATTATGGAACTTTAGGATCACAGGCCAATCAAATTCTACAAATTTTTGCCCTGCCAAAGCAATTAGGATAGAGTAACATAATAGTTTTATAATTTAGCTTGTCACCCTGAGCTATAATTACAAAGAACAAGCTCCCTTGATTATTAAGCTTTTTCAATAGAGCAGTGGTAAAAAGTAGGAAAACCGGATGCCAAAGCAGTTCCTCGTGAACCAGCTCAACATCGAAGATAGAAAGACGGTTATTTCAAATTGTGAGATTTCAATCACAAACAGAGTAGGAGCTCTTTTTATTTCTCTTGGGGTACAGAGACCTAGTAGACAAAGATTTACATCAATTATTTATATTTTCTTTGCAAATAAGAATCATTATTTGTGTGCAAATCTGTGTCTATGACTCGAATGCGGAAATGTACAGATGATAAATCTGCAGTCCAAGTGCGGGGCCTTGCAGGCTCTAATATCCAGTGCCTAACAATATCAATTCTACTAATTACGCTGTTTGAACATGAACTAATTAAAGATGATCTAGGCATTAATGTCACCAAAGAAATATTGTTCTCATTTGCAACATGCATAAGATCTGAGGCAAAAATTTCATTGAATATATTTTATCAGGAAAAATTCAAGTTGGATACAAATGAGTGCCATAGTCGTTTGAACTTACAGCTCTATTTTGTACAGTAGCCTAATAATCAAATTCGGGTTGAATTTCACAAGTGTGCTACCTGCCCGCCTTCATACTTCCAGCTCCATTTGACGTGATCTACACCCCCAAATTCAAGGGAAAAAGTAGAGAACATGCACATTCATTCTTCCGACATGTCTGTCATTGGAGCTACCGTCAACTTGCATAACTATCACAGCAAAATTATTCACTCGCATCAGTTTTCTGCAAGAAGAGGGAAACAAATTAAGTGCCTAAGCAATCGGTAATTCTTGAAGAGTGTGTGGTGTTGTGTCGGCCCAAATTTCATGAACTTTACTCACAAAAACACTAAAATGAAAGCCTCCGGTCAGTTCTCTGCATGGTCTGGACTGTGATAAGTTCAGAAATCTATAATCCCAAAGCAATAAAATAAAAGCCACTAAACTAAACCCTTTAGGTTTAGGAAGGGTCAGTTTCCTCCCCCACCCCCTTAGTGTAGATAATATCGTTTGTTAAAAAAAATTAAAAAAAATTAAAAAAAATTAAAAAAAAGATAAAAAAACCTTTGGAGACCCAATGGTGGAAACTTCTTTTTGGGGCCAGGCCAAACATCTTGTCCTCAGAACCATGAGGTGGAAAGTGGGTTTAAGTATGTATATGAGTGAATATGCTCAACCAATATGAGGGGATGGGGATTACTTCAAAGAAAAATCTACTAAAAGGTCGTACCCAGTGCACAAGGCTCCCGCTTTACGCAGGGTCTGGGAAAGGTGAATGTTGGCTAGCCTTACCCCCATTTATGGAGAGGCTGCTCCCAAGTCTCGAACCCGAGACCTACCGCTCATGGGCGAAGGCACTTGCCATCGCACCAAGTGCGACCTCTACTTCAAAGAAAAATCTACTAAAACGGAAAAAAACTAGCTTTAAAAATCTTGAATTCCACAACAAACTTAAAGCTAAGATGGAACATGGAACTCACCATTCGTTTGCTGACGTAAGGCTGTATCTTAATTGGCATGTTCAACTGAATTTCAACCTTAGGTAATTTGTGTTTCTCCAACTCAAATTCTTTTCTGGACTCTTTTCGGCTACCGGACTGCCAAACTACCAAAATTAGTGAGCCAATTGGCATCACAGTCACTCATGACAATTTCCCCTCTTTTTTCCATCTCCACCTCCCTCTTTCTCCTTTCTGCCCAAGCTGCTCCGACACGGTTTGGATTCAATTTCTTGGACTTCTCCGACTTATTTGACAGGGAGATAAGACTACCTGAAACTGGTTTCAGTGGAACACTAAACTGAATTTCTTCATCTGCTTGAAGCCAAGGAGGAGGTGCCCCAGTATGCACATTTCCACTAGCCTCTTTAGGACCCAAGGATGATATTTGAGTGAGATTCTGAAAACCTGAAGAGAAATCTTAAATGAGGATCCACAGCTAGAACATAACTATATCAACCTCCTACGCCAAGCCATTCAGATTCGAGACAGATGCATACGAGTTTTGCTACAATTCCTAAGAATTGATGTGTCATTGCTCAAGTTATGCATACATTGTGCATCAGGATGATCAGCTGAACAGAAGCAGAGAGAATACAAACATAAAAAGAAAAAGAAAAAATCAAAGGTTGATACCTGGAGAACTGCTCTGCCCTTTTGTCATTCTTCCATGCTGAGACCCCTCTCTTATCTACACCAAACATATCACGTGTTTTCTGATTTTATAGCCATTCATTTAAATGCAATCACAAGAAACAGATGTTTTTAGTGAAGAGTGTGGATAATCAAACTTACCCTTTCATTATCGAAGTAACCATCAGCTGAGAATTTTCTACCATTAGAAACCAAAGGATGTTGGGTATTCCTGCTAACTGGGAGAGTGAGTAAGCACACAGCAGAGGGCACAAAACACGCATAAGCCTTTTACTCATACGGGAGGAGCTTCTATTAAATACAAACCAAACGGATAATAAATAAGATATCAACATCACATAATTGAACATGCATACCTGTTAAACCATTTGAATTTATGGAATTTGTACCAGACCGTATTCCCCCATGATAAGAAGCATTAGCAACATCTTGCGGAAAGCAGCCAACATTTGTAACTTGAGGGAGTCCTGAATGGGATACCTGATTCTCATTTGTATGATATGGTAAAGGAATGACACCATGTGAAAAACATGAATTACTATTATTTTCAGAAGTATCTATAATTCCATATTTCAGTTCAATATGGATATCATTCGAAGGTCCAAATGTCGGTTCTCGAGAGCCTTCACCACAAGGCACAGCTTCAAGCTTCAGTGAATTACACTTCTTCTCCCACTGCAGACACAAAACAATCACCGTTCGTTAATGACTTGCCTCTAAAATTGACTAGAAGTCACTATTCTAGTATCTTTTCTCAACAAATCACATCAATGATGACTGAAACTGAAAGCATATATATATACCTTAGCAAGTTCATTTTCCGAAATTCTAAATGTATCGATGCGGTCCATTCCTCCACCGTATTTCCACAAGAAATGCTCAAATTCTTCAGATGTTCAGCGGTCGCAAGGTGATTAATCGCATTACCACTGACAATTACAAAACCAAAAACAGAGCATAACCCCAATGTCATATATATCAATATATCACAATGCACGATTCAATTTCTTTCCAATTATACAAACTGCACAAGTCTCCCTATTTTCTACCACTTTCGTTTGATTTCTCGGCAAACAAACAGAACTTAAACAGCTAATTGAAAATTAAGGACAGAAATCTTACCAGGCGAAGGAGCTATCGAGCTCGCCGATATCGGAGTCGCAGAAGACGCACCAGAGGCGATTGCAGGAGGCGTGTTTGGGGCGGAGAGGGCTAGGGTTTTTGAGAAAGAAGCGGACGTCGGCGAGCTTGGACTGGAAGCGAGAAAGGAAGGCGGAGAGGGACTTGGTGTGGTTCGGGATGTACCTGTGGCTCGGACCTTGGTCGTGATTGAGCTTGCAAACCACGCAGTACTCGAACTCGTACTTCTTCTTCTTCTTCTTCTTCTTCTTCTTCTTCGTGATCTCTTTCCTCTTCTCCTCCATCTTTCGATTGGGTTTTAGGGTTAGGGTTAGGGTTCGGGTTTAGGGTTCGACTGTGATCGTCCCCTTCCTCGCTCTATTTTGTTCGGAATTTGGAGGCAAACGTTTAACCGTCGCTAACTGCCACTGAAGTCGCGGTTTCTGTTAACGATTTCACAGTCTGTGATAACGGCGCTGTTTCCCGTACCATAGTCGAATTCGCTACTGCAAGAAGAAACGTTAGTCACGACGTTTGGACCGACGTGATCAACATTTTTTCCTTGGTTAATTTCGAGTACAAAGTTTTTATTACTGCTGGTAACAAAATTTTGAGGTTTTTACTGGTGGAGAAAAACTTTACAAGATAAGTTCTTTTTTATGGGAAGAAACTCAGACCTAGTTTGGGAGTGAGGTGCTTAAAAAAAAAACACCTATGAAAAAAAGCTGTTAGGATTTTAGGTGTTTGGTAAACTGAAAAAAAATGGCTTATTTTGGAAGCTGCTGTGAGAATAAGCTGAAATCAAAGGAAAAAGCTGAAGCTGCTATTTGCAGCTTTGGAAAACTGGTTTTTTTTCAAAGCACACGGGGCTACAGTGCTCCTTTAATGAAAAGACCCACTATCAGACTGCTTTTTTTTTCCAAAAGCACTTTTACAAAAAAGTTTACCAAACGCTCTGCTGATTAATTTCACAGCCGCTTATTCTCACAGCACAGCCGCTTATTCTCACAGCAGCTTTTTTTCAAAGCACAGCAATACCAAACCAGCCCTCAGTCTCATCGCTCAGGCAATCGGAACATCAAGATGACGATATTTTAAATCAATCACGCAACGATAAGTTTTCTATTGTTAGAGAAAAATTCTTACACAACTAGAACATCAAAATGTCGATATTCCAAATTAATTAAGCGTTTATGTTCTCAGAAAAACAAACTTTCACACAACTGAAACATCAAGATAACAGTACAATCCAGTAATGCAATGGAGTGTGAATCACATTTCCACATGCATGACTGCAACAATTTGAGTCCCACCATGAATCCATGATCATCTGAACTTTCCCATCTTCAAAAGTGACCTGCTCTTTTTTCTCCATTTGGTTCATGGAAGATGATAGACTTGAGTTGACTTGACTGCACAACAATAATACCTAATGTCTATCTCTATTTTGTTACTTGTTAAAACATATGTACAAAAGTCTCATTATTTTATGGAAATTTAACATTCCCAGATCAAATCTATGAACAAATGAATGCATGTGACTATGAACTCCACCCTATCATGTCTCCCACATCTTGCCAAATCTTTTGCCAACTCTCAGTTATTGTAAAAACATAGGCACTACTACTCGTGGGAGCTTAAGCATTGGTCAGACTTCTCTTGAGACTCCTGAGCAGTGCTCGAACTCCTCTTGAGACGTCTGAGCAGTGCTCAAACTCCTTTCAAGTGATTAAAATGTTGAAAATGAAAATACAGTCTTTAACATGTCGAGAATTCGACTACTTTTCAAAACTCCAAAAGTTGGTTCTATGATAATATCTACACCATTATTCTGTGCCACATGGACAATGGTTGGTTCTGAATTCCATTTAGATTCAGTTATGCTGCACAGCATATGAACAGTCAATTATATGCTCCACAATAATACTTGAATGTTCTGTAGAACTTGTACAAAAAAAAGTATCAAACGTATGAATGTGTTGTCTATTTGGTTGTGATATCTGTGGGTTATGTGGTTCCCCCTTTGCTCATCTACGAGATATTGGAAAAAGATTTCTTTGTCCTACCAATAACGTCTCACTTGATATGTCTAACGGTCTTGGGTCGTGACTCATACTAGTATATCAGTCGTCCACACACCAATACGTGAACATTAATTAATAATTGTGTAATGCTCTCGAGTCGTGACTCATACTAGCATATCACCCGTCCACTCATTAACATGAACATTAATTAATAATAATCTAACGCCCTTGAGTCGTGACTCGTACTAGTATATCAGTCGTCCACACACCAATACGTGAACATTAATTAATAATTGTGTAATGCTCTCGAGTCGTGACTCATACTAGCATATCACCCGTCCACTCATTAACATGAACATTAATTAATAATAATCTAACGCCCTTGAGTCGTGACTCGTACTAGTATATCAACCATTCATGCACCAATACGAGAACATTAATCAATAATTGTCTAACGTTATCGAGTTGTGACGTGTACTAGTAATTCAGTCGTCCATGCACCAATACGTGAACATTAATTAATTTTCATGATCGTCTAGCTCTCGAGTCATGACTCATACTAATATATCAGTCGTCCACGCACCAATAGGTAAATATTAATCAATAGTCGTCGCGCGTGTGGATGGTACAACAGTATAACCCTAATGTAATAAAGATCGTTAGAGTAAGTAAAATGTAGAGTTATATGTATGGTTAAATGTATAAATCTCTACAGAAATAAGAGCATCAAATGGCATCGTAAGTGGACAATATGAAAAGACAAATGTTAAGGTTATGTCATGATGGCCTAGTTTGATGGTTCAACAAGCAGATGCCCTACATCTTTTGTCCCTTTGCTCTTCCAGTTTTCTGAAAGAATTGATGGACGGCCCTCGTATTTTGGTAGTATTTGGTATTTCTGCAGATAAGAAATTCAAAGACAAGGCATCACCCATAATGTGGGTGGTCATATGTCAGAGTACTGCCTGTATATATATGATCAAAGTTTACTATTACATCATACATTAAATCAAGGCTAAATTTAGGAAAGGTCTATGATATATTATATACCACGAGTTTTATTTCGACCCTAAACTCTACTAATAGTTTATCTCATTCTCAAATTATGTCATTTGTTGCACTAGTAGTCTTTTTGGTTAACTCTTTCAACTTTTCTGTTAAGTTGAGAGACAGATTTGAAAAGACCACTATACAATTAAATTTGATAGAAAAGAAGACAGATTTGATGAAATGATCGCTCATGTAACGCAGAGTTAAGTTGGAGGACGGGAAAAACTAATATGAGAATTGAAGGACGAAAACTAACATGTGGTAAGCTCAGAGACCTTTGCTCCCACACAACCTTAAATCAATTAGGCTCCAGTAGTAGGCACTTTTTATAATTATATATATATTTTTTTTTGGTACAAACGGTATTGAGAAAGAGAGGAGTTGAATTTGAGGATTTGGAGACTTTTCAACATCGTAAAGATTGACAAACCTTGCAATGGCTTATAGACATTGATCTACTTTCCTAATTGCATGACAATCAGTTTTGAAGTGGAATTTCAATTTCTTCTTAGTATCATAGCAAGTTTACCTACATGTGAAATCAATGTATGAGGACGTGAAGAATTGTTCCAACATCAGAAAGTTAAGAAACCTCGTAAAGGCTTATAAAAGTTGGTTTACTCCCCTCCTTGGCACTTGACCTTGAGAAAAAACCTTAACTCAACTTCTTTCATTGAACACAGAATATCGAGTTCAATATTTTATGCTCTCAAGAGCCATGAACTTCCATCATTGGTTTCCAACTTTTGAGCAAAGGGCATCTCATGATAACAACTGTTGGGTTCCTATAGGACAAGTACATTCAATTGTTTAAAATAGTATCTTTCTTTTGCTCATTGGTGAAGATTTTGATCCTTTTCACAGGAGTAAATATAGAAACATGCAAAGGAAAATCACTTAAAATAAAAAGCAGCCATGATAATGAAACCACTAGGCCATGCTCAAATCTGCAGACCAAAAGATTGTTTTAGGGAATCATCTTTTTCAAAGGACAAACAGTGAACAAGGGAAGGGTGGTGGGTATTTCTATCTTTGTAAGTTTAATGTTAGGACAGTTGGGGAGCTAAGCAGTAAACCCAAAAAGTGAAAAAAGAGGATGACGTACAGTTAATTAAGGCAGTGTGTCTTTCTTTTTATACCGGGATTCAAAAATCAAATAAAGTATCTGTCTTGAAATAATTAGCCAAATCTTTGATTACCCTTTGTTTTCCTTCCCATGCCTTCTTGCACTTTTCAGAAGCACCTAGTTTTTGAGAATTTGTGATCCTTTGTGCCCACTAAACTATGTCTAGCACTTGCTCTCATGAACTCATCCAGAATCAAAGTCATTGCATTATTGTAGGCAACCATATATATCCTTCCCTGATTAATTGTATTTGACTATGTGTAGAAGCTACTGACAAACGAAGCTAGCTAGCTCGAGAAAATACTTGTCTCCTTACATGTAATAAGACATTCAGAAATCAATATGTTGGCAAAACGTTTACTTTCGAGGTTTTAATGAGATGTTTTTGTAGTGTCAGTCAGACAATGATTTGCAATTAAGGAAAAATGACTCATTACGTATAAGGCATCGATGAATGTTCGGTCACTAGTGCTGTTGAGTGCTGTGATTGAAAACTTTTTTAGTAGAGTCATGATCCTATCCCAAGAAATGTTTTCCTTTTTGTGTTGGATCGGAGACATGGGTAGTGGGTGTTTGGTTTCATGAACAAAAGTTTAAGAGGTTGAATCCAAGGGATGTACAGCAATAATGTCTTGTTGCCGCTGAATTACTTGCCCCTTTTTGTTCTGATTCATTTGCCATTTGCCTTTCTACATCGACATCAAGTTCTGAAACTTGACCCTTTTTACGTCAGATTTGACTATACCCTAGCCCGATCGATCTTTCCCTGTCTTCACCTCTCTTGGGTTTCAAATTTCAATATACATTTTCTAATCTATGTAAAATAAAAAAATCTTGGAATTAGGGTTTTGTTATGACTACATTTTTCAATCAGTGGAGAGGGATTCGAACTTAAAAATCTCTTCAAACATTTAGGAAGAGATGTACAATATTCAAACTAAGTTGTTAGTTTTGTGGTTTTGCTTGCAATTTAAGAATATCCTCGGGTTATGTGACCTCCTTATTGCACCCAAATCAACTTAAGAATATAGCTTAACATATCGTTTTCTGGCATAACGAAATCATAGTTAAGTTAAAAAATAGTTTTTATAATTTGTGTCATACTAATTCTAATTTCTACCCAAGTCCAACATGCTAATTTGTTGTATATGTCCAGATACTGCGAAGTCCATGCCTGCAAAGGCTCAGAAACTGATAAAAGAGGATGCTTTTTCTTTGCTCTGAATTCCATGCAATCTTGGCCAATCTTTTGTATGATGGTTCAGTCA